AAGAAACTTGGGCGCCTTGGCGGCGAATTTCGTGGGGCATCCTGTGCTAAGCCAGACGTAATGCTTCAGACAGTGATCGACGAACCTCGAACTGAAGATTTGCGTAACATGGACCGGTGACGATTTCTGGGACTAACCCAAATTTCGTGACGCGTACCATTTCACTATGGGACTGTGACGAGAACATGACACGCCCAGACCCCATGGCACTTCTCCAATTATGATAATAAAAAATCAAAAGTGTGTTAATGATTGATTGATATGTGGGGTTTAACATCCCAAAACCACGATATGATTACGAGAGACGCCGTATAGTGGAGGGCTCCGGAAATTTCGACCACCTGGGGTTCTATAACGTGCGCCCATAATCTGAGCACACGGGCCTACAACATTTCCGCCTCCATCGGAAATGCAGCCGCCGCAGCCGGGATAAAAGTGTGTTCAAAGCCGCAAATACAAAGACTAGGCGAATTCATGCACCGCCCATCATTAATTCCCATGTTGGTTCAACAATCGCGGCGTCGTAGTTGCCTCTAATGAATATTGCAGGAAACAACGCGGCTACGAGCATGTCGCCTTCGGAGGAGGGACGCAGACGAGAGGGGGGTGCGCAGTTGTCACGGCGACCGCGCGAGGGCGCTGCGCGCCGACAGGTCTTATAATGGCGAAAACGAGGCCACCGAGCGGCGCAACGGGTCACAGTGTCGCGTTCGGCTTCTCTTTACGTGGTTGCATGCGTGCAACCAGCGAAAGTGGGAGCACGAGGACTTACGGAGAGACACACTGCGATGAAAAAAAAAAAAGAAAAAAAAAGCCGTGCTTGGGAGGAATGCGGACGCGCGGCTGCAGCAGAAGCTAGGCCTACATAACTGCTATCAGCGCCCCCTACAGGCGTCACCTCGCGATTGCGTAGCCGGGGGCGCGGAAGCTGGGCATATTCCCGCGTAACGGGTAAATTAATTACGCAGTCATTAGCTGCCGCGCCTCGAGCGGCTGCGTCCCATCCTCTGACTAATTGTTAATCCTTTTGTTTCACGAGAAGCAATCAAATGTATTTCGTTTGCTTATTTACTGAATTTTGGCGCAGGTCATGGCGTCCGCGTAAGAGACGATTTCAGGTCGGGCGAGTGTTGTAATAGGTCGTTTCAGGCTGTGTGTCCCTTTTGTAGACAAAAAAAAAGGCGCTGCGAAAATGTGTGTGTGTGGGTGCGGGGGGGAGAGAATAGCTTACAGCGTGCATCTTCTTAACTAAGCCTATTCTTTGTAAACCCCAACTAAACCGATGCTGTATATTTACAAGGCTGAAGCCTGCGGTTCATTCAAGGTTATTATTTTTTTTTTCAGGCCAAATTTCATGGCTAGAAGGGCCCTTCCTCGAGCAACAAAAAGAAAGACAGCAAACGTATTGTTGTAGCTTCCATGTACTTTGAAATAACTGGTGCTTCGAATGGTTGGTTTCTCATGGTCGGCGAGTGCTGCGCGCATGTTGTCATACCCGAGTCATGCGTCAAATATTACGGCTAGCGCAATGAATGGGTCAAAGCTACCTCTCGATTGGGTTGATCCAAGGTCAAGGCGTTAGCGGCAGCGCAAAGCACCAAAGTGTAGGACTGCACAGGTGCGCAGTTAGAAGAGTTTTTTTTTCATGTTCGTTAATGATTCAATTTGCCGAAATTACCACGTTTAGGCGATGCCACGCTACGTAATTCTTGGAGACATGTGAACCTAATTAGCCACAACTTAAGCCACTAATTAGGCGCAGTTTTAAAACTACTAATTAGCCGCAATTTTTTAAAGTAATACAGCGCAAATATTTCACCGGCTCAGTGCACAATAGCAAGAGCCATATACATTATTTCATTACACTGTCACAGGAACAGACACTGAACGTTTGCCGGTGCTAACATACATGCATAAGTACAGCAGACTTCGCTGAAGCCTTCTGTTATATAATTTTATTATATGTAGTTTAATGAGAACCCGCATTACTAGACTACAGGTATGTTTTTTTTTTCATATTTTAGCTCGAAAAATGATATCGCTATTTTTTATGCTGGCATGGAAACTGACTGAAAAGGTGCTGCTAAAGTAATGCTACAATGAGTAAACAAGAATAAAAAAGAAGGCTTAATAAAGAAATGATCACGGTTCTCAAACACACGTAGTGGTAAGTGAATAAAAAAAACGGAACCAAGCATCGCAAGTGTGATATTATGGTTCCCTCGGACCAGCAAAAAATATAAACAAAGACATATATTGAACAGTAAGGTTATCTACTCTTTAATCCGCTTGACCATCGCCATGGTTGATTTTTCTGTTTCTATCACTAATAAGTTATTTCCTAAACTCGTGAACCTATTCGTTGTTCCTAGTCATGTATAATTTCTGTATACGACAACATATATCCGCCTGATTCATGGCCGATCGGCCGGTGTGGGTTGCGCCTGGAACAAACCGACCAACCAACAATCGAATCGCCTCTATACGAAGTGCCTTTGTGGGGGATGCAAAATAGGTCGGCAGCTTTCCTTTATTTATTTATTTTTCCTTACATCTATCTGCCTTGTACGCGTCAAGGATACCAGACCTCGTCCACACAGGCAGCACCGTCAAATGGTTCTTTTGTTCTGCCGCCGGCATCGATGCTGCGTCGAAGCGAACAATCGATCCCGAATTGACGACACTATTAAAAGGGAGGCCTCCTGGGCGCTTGCGACTGCCGCATTGTGACGCGCGAGGTCGCGGCGGAGCGCGTGCATTTGGGCGACACGACCTCGTCGCACACTCATCGCGTTTCGCTATATAACTGTCAAGCAGTGGGGTGACCCGCGTTGTTCTAACTTTTTTTTTTTCGACGCGTATGCATGCAGTTGTTTGGCTGCCTGTAAGGCATTTCGATCGATTAACGGAGCGAGTATCTACACCGCGAATAGCGTCACAAAACACGGACATGCACAGTCCACATCTATACCGTGAAATCCCGAACTAATATATATATATATATATATATATATATATATATATATATATATATATATATATATATATATATATATATATATATATATATATATATATATATATATATATATATATATATATATATAAAATCAGAATTGACACATTTAAAACACTTTCCTTGTTAGAACGATTGTCGACAGGAACTGTCTTGCCGCCGATTTCTTTGAGAATGTAGACACAGTTGAATCTTTTGTTGGTAAATTAGAATTGTCATTGTATGATGTAGTTCCCACTCTGTAACAGCCCGACAGGGCTTACAGTATTGTGAATAATAATAATAATAATAATAATAATAATAATAATAATAATAATAATAATAATAATAATAATAATAATAATAATAATAATAATAATAATATATAGTTCTCTGCTCCTGCTTCGCTTATGCAGCAGTTGTTTAGCTACCTATGAGCTATCTCCCTATAGGGCGTATGCACAGTTGATTGACATGTGGTGTTTACCGTCCCCAAACCGCCATATGACTATGAGAGACGCCGCAGTGGAGGGCTCCGGAAATTTCGAGGGTATATTTAACGTGCACACAAATCTGAGCACACGGGCCTGCAACACTTCCGCCTCGCGTATGCACAGTCCACACCTACCGTAAAGTGCCGGGCAAGTTCTCTTCTATCCCCCCCCCCCCACCCGCGGCGGAAGAGTCGCTAAGAATAAAGAATGCACACCCGGGCTTCCAACGGAATGTTATGTTGAATAAGTCGATACAACACTGAATGAAACAGTGGAAATGGCGGCAGAAAAGCAGAGGACGCATATTTGAAATCGCCCGAAGAAGGCAGGCGGGTGCTTGTTCGGCATAGAGTTTCTCACGATCATACCTAGAGGGAAATCTGGCGCCAGTGAGCTGTTGGATGCAAGGGAATGACGGGATATGTGAGCTTCAAACTTGACTCTGATTTGTATGTTTCAAAGACGCTTCTCGCTTCACGTTAAAGTGATTGATTTCTTACTAAAAGAACGCGTAATAAGCTATTTATGTTTTGTCATTGCGCAGAAACGTGTTTTATTTAACAGTAAAACCTTCTACGAATTGATGTACAATTTTACAAAGCGTAAGAAGTAACCGACGGCTGCTAAACTTGGAGGCAGACGACAAAGCGAGCATCTTTCTGCCACTTTTATGTCGTCTGCTTCTTTCCTTCGCCGTTTGGTCGTGCCGCCAAGGTGAGTGGACTTTCATTCTAGAATATAATATGCATGAATGAGATCCACTTATAAAACCGTTTTGTCTTAGAGAAGCTTTATTTACGCAGTCGTATTCGCTTTTGAGCCGAAGCCTCGCTCAACACCAGCCAACACAAGCCTCGCAGACACATATACCGCCATTCCCAGCGCTCCAACATCGCCCCTTAAGAAATTCGCAAAGACTGTGGCGCCACGCTTCCCTCCAGGTATCTGTGAGAAACTCGATGTTGTTCGGGATTTTGCGGTAATAAATATTTAACTGCAGTCGAGCAGATATATACCCACGTTGTTATATACCCACCCGATATATACCCAGCCGATATATACCCACCCGGGAACGATGTGTAGCCGCGGTGTATTTTATTTGCATACGAAATAAGACGTTAAAGCTGTTTCTAAGGTGGGATTTGAAGTGCGGGCTATAGTGCAGAAGTCTGATTCCCAAACTATACTCTTTTCAAGGCAAGAGACATATTGATCAGGAGCGAGAAAATCCGCCGGTGATAACCTGAACGGTACCAAAAGTCACGTGTTGCCTTGGTGATGGTTAACGTTAACCAAACGTCAATTAAATGTGATTTAATGCGAATTAACGTAACGCACGCATTCAAATGATCGTTAGGTGCGTATATAAGGCTAATCAAATGTGACTTAAGTGACCGGAGGGAACAAGAGGTTAATTTACAGCGAATCAAACAGAACCACATGTTAGTTAAAGGTGTACAAAAATGATTTGATTTGAATCGCTTTGAGTTTAACTGAATCAAGCTACTCACGGAGTCGTTCCCAGCGCTGCTCCGAGAATCCGTCCGACTCCTCGTTCTCGGGGATGTAGTAGTTGACGTTCACGCAATCCGTCTGCACCGGGGACATGAAGGTCTCCACTGTGAATACAAGACAAGAACGATCCGTTAGCCACTGAACGATATACCATAAGAGCTACTTCGCAATAACGAAATCGGTGTATACTGCGAATGCAATCAGAACCACGGCCTCTTCACGCAGTGTTACGTGGGTTGTTCTCTATGTATTGAGTCTATAGGTCCAACCGTCTATCTATTCTTTATGTCACGTGAGCCGCTTTACCCATCCATTCCACGTGTACATGGTTGACCACATCTCGGAGAAGAAACGCTTCATCAGTACTCAGATTGGTAAAAGTGTGGAAAGTTTACTATATATACTCCACGAAGGAAGTGTCCTCATCCAATCCAATACACCCCATGCTGTCATTTATCCAGCTCATCCATGCGACCTAGTTCACTGCTCCAAATCTATTAACCCGCATCCAACACGCCCACTGTCCATCCAATCCATCATCCAACTTCCATTCATCCAATACCGATCATCCAATAACGTCCACCAACTTCCCCAAAAATTATGAGCAGTCACTTTCGACGAATTCAAATGATGTGTATACGCTCGAACGGCTCTACAATTAAATAGCCTTGCAACGAGAGAGAGAGAGAAGGCTTATTGAGACCGAGGTGGTTAAATTTATTTAAAACCTCCTCCCTCGAAGCGCTCGCCAAAAAAAGTGATAAATTAAAAATAAATCCGCGCATATCTTCGGAGCGACCTATAGTGGGTGAAGCTCTGAGTATCGTATAAGTGAGTAATCAACCGTACATTACCCGAGCGTTCCGCATGTAACGCAAGTTGAGTGACATAAGTGACACAAAGAGTAGACGACGAAAAAGCTGCGTCCTAAGGTTCACAATGTCTACGCTGATGTCGCCATCTATACTCGCGGGCAACCGTTTCACGGAAAAGCCCTTTTTAGAGATTTTTGAAACTATAATTGAAAATATTTTCAATAATGGGAAAAATTTGTCATGATTCTGCTTCTTTTGTGATAAGTATTGACTCGCTTGCTCGGTATCATCTGGCAACCCTGTTCTAAACAGAAATTTTATATTTGAGCCTGTGATTCGTAACAACTTACTGCCCCTCTTCCAGGAAATACATGTACCTCTGTCAATCGTCCACGCTACACTCTAAACAACTCACAGGCAGTTACGTGAAGCTCTCAGCAAAGTACATCGAGTGCTCACGTCTACCATTTGTAGAAAATGTCATCGGCATGTAGAGGGACACCAGTTAACTACTGAGGCAGAGGTCTGTCGTTGCAGAAAATCTGAGAAGTCTGCCTGATTCAACTTTCCAACCTGCCACTCAGGGTTAGGAGTGGGGAGGAGACGATGTTATGCCAGCGAGTCCTCGTCAAACGTCCGTGCCTCTGAAACAGGCAATCTGGGTCAAGGCCAGCCCGCAGCCCGCCGGGCGCGAACAACTCCACGGCGTGAACACGCGCGGCGCATCTGTGGCCCACGTGCATTGAGTCAGCGTCGCACGTGACAGCGAGCCGGCGTCCTCATGTCTGGTGGCCTGACGCATCGCGCGGCGAACCCCATTGGAGGAGCCTGCTCGGAAGACCAGCGGCGCTTCTGATTGGACATTTTAGTTGGGCCCGGTGTAAATAAAAGAAGCCCTGCGGCGTGTCGCGATCAGCGGTCTTAGGCGAAGGGCTGAACTATGTGTTAGAGAGAAGAGCTCGGCTCTTCGAGTCTCTGTCGGCCCCAGTGCCGAAATTGTAACGCCTCTGTAAATATGCTGTACATAAACCTTGTTTAACTCACCGTCGTCTCGTCCGCTCGTCTTATCAGCTCTGCGCAGAAGCAGTCGCGAGCTGATAAACATACGCTACCAAACGGCTGGTGACCTTCCCGGCGGAGTTGAAAGCAGTGGCGCCTCCGGGGCCGTGTTGGCGTCGCCGTCTTTCGCAACAGTGGAGGTCAGCGGCGGGATTGGTCCGTCGTTCGCAACAGTGGTTGGCAGCTGCGGGATCGGCCGGCGTCAGCGACATCGATGCGGTGAGTGCCTGATGTTTTCCCCTCAGTTCACCAGACTACTCTAGCTCAGGTTGTAGTAGTTTAGAGAAAGGGCTGCGTGAAGCATTGAAGTGAGCTTTGATCGTTTCAAGCCAAGTTGAAGTGCTTTGAAACCAAAGTTAATGCGGAGGGGGTAAACACGGGAGAGTGAAAAGTTGCTTGCGCGTCTTGCTAGTTGACTTATAGTGGGTACGGCAAGTAAATTGTTAACAGGGGCAAACAGCAAGAGGCTAGTGTGAACGATGGAGAACCTTAAAGTGAAGGAACTCATCGAAATTTGTGAGGAACTCGGCATTACTTTGGGCCGTGCGAAACGAAAGCAAGCGATCCTTGAGATCATGAAGGATGAGGGAGTGTCGGCTGAGGAAGTCGATGAGGCCTGGGCGGATATTAAAGCACGCCGCGAAGAGGCTGAAAGGCGCGAAGCTCGCGAAGAAGCTGAAAGGCGCGAAGCTCGCGAAGAAGCTGAAAGGCGCGAACGTCGCGAGGAGGCCGAGAGACAAGAGCGCCTAGAGTTGAAACGACTAGAATTGGCAATCCTACAGTGTTCGCAGGCGCCTAGCGTAGCTTCTCCGACGAGTCAGGTCAGCGGTATTAGAATTCGGGATCAACTGCCACCGTTCGTAGTAGGCGAGGACATGGCGAAGTATCTCGTCAAGTTTGAACACGTCTGTGAGCGGAACGCTTTGGAGCGGTCTCTTTGGGCGCAGAACCTGTTAGCTCTTCTTCCCGGCGAAGTGTCCGACGCATTAACTTGCTTGTCTAGGGAAGCGTTTGAGAGCTATGACGAGGTTAAGGAAGTGCTCTTGAGACGTTATAAGTTGTCACCCGAGGCTTTCAGGCAAAGGTTCCGGTATGCTGAAAAGGGGAATGAGTCACACGTTGACTTCGCGTTTCGTCTTAAAGCCGATTTAATTGAATGGCTCAAGGGCGAAGGTGTTTATGATGATCGCGATAAAGTGGTGGAATGCGTTGCACTGGAGCAGTTCTACCGCTGCATCGAGGATAATGTCAGACTTTGGCTGCAGGACAGACTTAGTGAAGTACAGCTAAACAAGGCAGCAGAGTTAGCTGAGGAGTATTATACTCGCCGAAAGTTGCACAGCAGGGCAGTGCGCGTTGAAAAAGATGAGAGAAAAGAGGGCTTTTCAAGGAAACCTGATCAACGGAAACCCGTTCCGCACCGTAATTTCAAAAAGGACCCATCTCTTACTAAGGACACTGTAGAGGAAGGGAAAACAGAAGCGGAAAAATCGAGTGAGGTCTCTAAACAACGCACTGATACCACACGGGCGTTTGAATCACGGAAGCCACTAATCTGCTACAACTGCAAAAAGGAAGGGCACATCGCGATAAACTGTAAGCAAAAGTTTGCTTTTGCAACAATTAGAGAATCGGAAAAGAACATGCGGTTGTTGGAGCCGTATATCCAAGAAATTAGTGTGAATGGGAAAGCGTGTCGAGCACTTAGAGACTCCGCGGCAACCATGGACGTTGTCCATCCTTCATTGGTGTCTCCGGATGACTTCACAGGAGAATGCGCGTGGATCAGGCAAGTCGCCGAGGAGCAGAGTGTTCGCTTACCAATCGCCACCGTTGTCATTGAAGGCCCGTTCGGTAAGCTTTGCACCGAAGCGGCTGTGTCTGCCGCGCTGAATGGTCGTTTTTCTTATCTTTTCTCCAACAACTCGGAGCAGCTTCTCAAGGAGCAGTGCAAATCGTTCTTCCCCAACTTAGCGTGCATGGCTCCCACGCGATCGCAAGCGCGAAAGCTTTCGCGGAAGCTTGACTTGGTTCCATGCGGTGAACTCTCAAGTGACCTTGTCGGCGGGTCGACGGAACCCCAGAAAGGAAATTTTCCGCATGAGTCATGTGAGCAGTCACGCGAGCGGCCCGTCGCGGGAGCGGCCGGCGCGGTATGCGCTGGGGGAGACGACGTGGCGCCTTTGAGTCAGAGCGAGAGGGATGCAACGCTCTCGCCTGTAGCGGAAAGTTGGAGCGAGCTGCCGAGAGTTGGTCGAGAGACGCTCATTCGAGGGCAGAGTGAGGGTCTCTCGATTGAAGCGCTAGTGGAAAGCCAAATTGAAGCGCTCGTGGAAAGCCAGAAAAACGCGGCAAAAGTGCTGTCGAAGGAGCACTACGAGAAATCGGGGAAGAAGCGCGCTTTTGAAGTTGATAATCAGGTAATGCGGCTGCAGCCACCCAAAAGGAACAAGCTTGAGGTTGATTGGGAAGGGCCCGCCAAAGTATTATCGAAGCCTTGCGATACAAATTATCAGGTGCAAGTAGGAAGGCGGCAGAACAAAATTTACAACTTGATGAAACCCAATGTTCAACATCAAGCGGTCGTAAATCTGGTGCTGAATGCTTCAAAGGAAGAGGAAGCAGAAATTTTGAGTTCTAGTGAGGTAATTGAAGGGGGATCGAAAGTAATCCGGGAGCAGATAAACCTAGAGCCTAGCTTAAGTGAAGGAGGACCTGAGAAAGAGGACCTGAGAAAGATTGGTTCCGAGTTTGGGTATGTGTTGTCGGACCGTCCCGGAGACACGACGGTGATCGAACACGATAGCGAGCTAAGCGGTGAGGAGTCAATCCGTAGGAAGCCGTATCGTTGTTCCCCTGTGCAACGTCGCAAGTGTGAGCCGCTCTTGGTGCCGCATAGGTATCGTCGCCTAAAAGTGGCCGGTTACTGAAGTGGAGCATGTTGCTCCACAGCGCAACTTTGACGTTCGCTATAAAAAAAAAATAAAGGAAGGGTAAACGCTAATGCAGGTGCATTGAGCAGTGCGTTCCAGCTAGTAACTTCTCAACCTTTCGGTTTCTGGCTGGCGATTCGGGGCAAAATTTTGACCTCATCACGACCTGGGCTGAGCGCTCTCGTTCAGAGTGATCTCAAGGGGCCAACTTTGTGGTATTCTAATTCGTTGCGGGGTTGTAATTGTGAAAAATTCAAGTTCTTACTTTAGGAGTCTTTTGTCCCACATGTGCCTCTT